TACAATAAAAAAAAACAGCTCACAGACTTCATAAGTGACAAAAATTAGTGCAGTGATTCAATAGAATTAATAAATTACCCCTCAAAAAGATGAAAACCAATGACTTATTTTAATTAAAAGCCCTATGTTTATTACAGTTAAAATAATTACGTTTGAACCGTAGTTAGAAATTGACATTGCTGTGTAAGGCCATCTACGCCATGGGATATAAAATGGTAGTATTAAAAATGATTATATCATATTTGAACAGTTATGTTAGAACCAAGCAAAATACTCCGTACAACTTTTTGTAATGGTTGCCGTCTCTTCGTCAAATAAATAAATATATATATATATACTCACAGTAGTCTTTCAATTTTTCGTATAATTTGAAATGTGGTAGTGAATGTTGTAAAATTCAATCAATTCATCTCATGTGTTCCTGCCAAGAAAACATATCTGTATCGATATACTTTTATTTGATGACCTTTAACTTCACATGTATTTTCCTACACAAAGCTTCCTTGTTGATAAACCCAGGTAAAGTAAATTATATTGTTTGGCATTATGTCAATTTATTTTTATATTCATGAGGTGTCAAACTTATTTTCACACGACAAACTTACCAGTTTGAATACAATTTACGATTTACGATTTAGAAAATATCATAAATATGTTAACTATTTTAACAGACACTGAACGGATATGGATATAGCTGGATATTTGATATCAAATGATTTGAATGAATCCCTTATTGCAACCCCTTAATTGAGTTATCCATTTTATGGAACACGTTTTACCTTAGTATTCACAAACAGCAAGTTCATAATTTTACTCGCCTTAACTCTTTTTATATATAAGAAGTAAAGGAGTAGGTCAGGTAAGGGCCGATTTTGGCCTCAAATTTCAGATTCATCTGATAAAAGGTTTTGGACACTTTTTAAACACTTTAGTGTCTACTTCAGTCGATTCAATTAGTTTATGTGAAAGATTAACTGATTTAGTCATTAAATACGCCCAAATGCAAGCTTAAATATGAAAAATCTATCAAATATGCCATAATATGTCACTTTTTAGATGTTTTTTGTCAAAAATGGAAGTGGCCGCATCCGTGTTTACTCTCACCCTATATATATGTTTTGTATTATCATCAAATACAACTTGCATTTAAATATTAAGAATGAACACAAATGCGGCCACTTCCATTTAAGACGAAAACCGTCTAAAATTTAACTCAAATGCTAAAATTGTGAAGATTTCAGTAATTTAGCATGACTAAATGATGCTAGTGCCCGATATATGTGCATTGTATTGTCAAAAACAGCCCATATTTATATAGCAGAAGTATTCTACTTTCCAATGAAAAGCTAAAAGTTTACATTGTAACAATTTTGGAAAACTGCTATATTTTGGGGCCAAAAAAGGGTCTTACTGAACATACTACTTTGTTATTTCTATATATCTTAAGATCACATCAATTGGGTAAATACATGGACAAGATGTTAGCATTATAAAAAGTAATTTAGAAGAGAGGCGAAAGATACCAAAGGGACATTCAAATTCATAAGTCGAATATAAACTGACAATATATGATAACATTCAAATCGGCAAGAAATTTTATAATGAATTGATGAATTTTCATACAGAAGGTTTATTGTAAATGATTTCAGGTATCATCTTTGTATTTATTCACTGACTGAGACTGGTTTTTACGACAATTGTGATCCAAGTTAAATTAGCTGTAATACTCCTAAGGTAGGATATTTTTTCATTATAGTTTTTTTCTGCAATAGTTATGTATCATTTCCCATTTCAAAACTTACTTATTACAGGCTGTTCATTTGCATCCATGACAATATTATTATTGCATTTGCTAACATTCTTATGAATAAAAATGCATCATACATAATTCTAAATCAAGTTGTGTCAAATACGGCTGAGGCCACATATGTCTTGGGGTAGATACGCCGTAGAATTACGAATAAATCAAAATTGATAACAAAAAAATCATTGAATGAATATTAATAAAACAGTTATAAAGGCAAGTTATTACGAAAACTAATTTTATGTAGACGACGAGAACCATTAATTTGTTTATAAATTGACATTATTTTATTTATCCTTTTGGGAATCCCTGCATTACGATCTATTGGCTGGATGACCATTGATCAGCTTCTAAACGATGTATCTTATTATTACACATTCTTGCTGATCTACAGATCGATGGTTTGGTAAACACGAATTATATTTTGGAATTAAATAAATGTTTTATTAGATATTCGGACTTTTATACAGATAAAGTGATTGGATATATATAAGGACAGCACCAGATTTTTTTTTTTTTTATTTATGCATGTGTTGATCGTGCATGTTTCTTTTAACTGATGGAATATTGATGATGTGTAGGAGATCTTTCGCCATTTTGGGTATTTATGTAAACAAATATTGACTTCGAATAAGTAAATATATAGCACACATTATATGAACATTATATAGACGTATTTTTCACAACAGCGTGTAAGATGAACATTTCAAACATAATTGGTGTTTTAACTATGACCACTATTGTCGAACGTAGTAACTGATAAAACTTAAATCAGAAATTCCATTTGTTCTTTCTCGTCGTCCTACATATTGACATCGTACCTAAAGTTTTGATACACAGCAGCCTTATTTTACGCTTGAACAAATGAATATGACCCGAAGTTACAACCTGAATTTTATTAAGCGCATTGTAGTGTGAAGAATTACATTGGTAAAAAACTTTATTCGGAAGATGTGTTGTTTGTTCAATCTCGTCGTCCTATAAATTGACATTTTACCCGAGATTTTGATACTAAAACACAGCTTTATTTCACTTTAACATTATGGCTTTAATTCAGCACATCGAATTGAAAAAAAGAAATTATAGTATGAAGACCATGTATTCGGTCTATATAATAACAAGTTCAATTCATATGCCTACTGAAGTGTTTATCAAGGTAATGTAATTAGAGTCTGACCATATATTTTGCAAAGACCATACTTGTACACACATGTACATGTTCACATAAATACCATTTGAACCATACCATTTATTTGGTAAATGTTATTTACATTTAACAGATCATTTATATGATCAACAAAAGTACAAATTGACCTTTATACATTTGGGTGCAGACCAAGCATAACATAAAGTAAACGCACGTTAACGCCTCGTGAACATATTTCATTTGTCAACTCCAATTTTCGCGTTTACCAGTAAACGCGCGTTTACTACAATTGCGTTAACGCGGTCAAAATGGAAATTTCAAATGACTACTCGAGTAAACGCGAGCGTTTACTCTGTGTTCGTTTAGTCAGTAGTAAACGGGCGTTTACTACAGATTTTACATCTTTACCTGTACGTGCACTTAGAAAATACGCGTTTATCAATTCCTTTAACTATTTGTGGAAATTATAAATATAATTTTTTTTCTGGCTTATTCATAAATTGCAAATGATAAATAAATAAAGTATCGCTCAAAAAAATGTTTTCAGAAATTATTTGGATAAGTAAATATTGCAAAACATCCACAAAAAGTTTATAAGTTAACAACAATATTCATTACGGTAGATTTAGCTAGGCAATGTTTTAAGACTTGAAATAAAACAGACGACTTCAAATGATCTATAATATTTTGTTTTCAGACAAAACACTAATTTCAAACTATTTCATGGTTTACTGAATTAAAAAATGATTTTTTAGCAATACTTTATTCATTTATCATTTGCTATTTATGAATATTGGTATTGTGCTATGGTAAATTTTTGAATTCTTGTCTTTTGTTTTTGCTAATGTGCTTTGTCTATATGCCTTTTCGTATATCTTTGTTGACATATTCTTATAGTGATTAAGATTACAACACAATGTTGAATGCTGTTCCTCTATTTTTGACATTTTTACCTATTATGTCTGTTTGTTTTGTTCACACATTGTTGTCAATATTGTGGAATTTTTTGCGACTGTCATACAAGTGAGAGGTTTAGCTAGCTATAACACCAGGTTTAATCCATCACTTTCTACATCAGAAAATGACTGTACCAAGTCAGGAGTATGACAGTTGTTATCCGTTCGTTTGATGTGTTTGAGCGTTTGATTTTGCCATTTGATTAGAGACTTCCCGCTTTGAATTTTCTTTGGAGTTCGGTATTTTTGTTATTTTTACTTTTTGTTTGTGATTTGGAACACTACGGTTTTTCTATCGAAGTTATATTTTGCGTGTGTCGTAATTAGCGCAAATTCCGGCCTTTTCGGTTTTAATTCTCTTCAATTGATTTGGACTTCCAACTGTTTTGATTCGAGCTCCAATGATGAGTCTTATAAATTGAAACGCTGATAAAACCAAAATCAACAAAAAAAAATAGCCGAAGCCGGAAAAGAAAATCAGAGCTACGCATGAGGGACAATAACTCCTTAGTTTTAAAATAATTTCGAAAATTGTTTTAAAGTCAATTGCAAGAACACAATATTCGTGTTGTTATGCCAGTACCAAAGTTCTGGGTACTTTGGTTACGGCTACTGGGCTGATGATACCATCGGGGTCTTTCGATCCATCAACAGACGCACCGACCCAGTTTTAGAAATAGAATTAACTTTACTAATTATACTGCATCTGATGCAAGTTTCGACAACTAATGTCTCTTCACTGAATATCGAGGCATGAATATTCGAAACTCTTAAAAGTATTTTTGGAAGTAAAGAACTGAAAACAAGAGAACAAAAGTTTGGCCATAGTCGGACAAGGTATCGGGGAGATATATTCTTAAAGGTGTTAAAATAACCTTCGTAAATCAACTTCATTACTATAAACTTAACTGTGACAAGTATTAAATAATTATTCATGTTTGATTCCCTATAAATGCCATAACCTTTTCTATGCAGCATTCATTTTCAATAGGCTCGTCTATCAGATGTCAAGTGGTGACTTGAATCTTCCCATGAACTGATCATCTATATATTTTCTTTTGTCAAAACGATCCTAAAATATCTTATTATTTATTTGGTAATGTGGCACCATCTGATTTATAACCTTGTGACTAGCATTAGCTTTGTCTGATACGTAGTTTGCGAATATTTGTGTTGTTCATTTTTTTATTTCATTCTTTTGTTCTTATGAATGATTTGTACATATCATCAGATATTTGTATGATGAATTTGTTCATATATATTTGTTCATATATATGTATAGTCATATAGTAAAGAAATCACATATATGATTTTTTTTTTCACTTGCTTAGTAGCTTTATCTGTATAAAACGTATTTATCCCTTCTGCACTCAGTTTCCCAGTTAATATATTCGGCTCCTATCATATGATATACCATACTTTGCTGAAGTTCCAATTAGTAATTAGTTGCATTCGATTTTATGAAGTAGCTTCCTGTTCCTCTCGTTATTTGTTTCAACTGTTTTCGGTTATTCTTCAAGTTATCGCATGATGCTCCTTAGTGTTTTTGGACTCATTTTACTGGTTCGAAGCTCTGCATTATTGTCTTTAAAAAACAGATTGTTGTAAGCTTTACTCCAAAAAATATCCTTTTTCTAATCTCAGAAGCTCCAATCACCCGAAAACCTACTGTTACTTTTTGAAAACCACTAGCAACAAAAAAGGATAAACTGAACAAATAATCGAATAAAGGAAAATGTTCGTTATTATCTGATGAAAAAAGAACAAAAGCAGGCAATATTTCTTTCTAAACTAAATTGCAGTCGGTTCAATCAGTGTTCTTCTTCATACTCATTAGGCTCTGGAAAAAAGTAAAATTTTTGTTTGTAATTTGCAGAGAGTTTAAGTTTCCCTAATTCGTTGTAATTAGAAACACTAAAATAAAAAATATAATAGTGATGTGTCTGACCTAAAGATACTAATTAGATTCCAAACAAGTTTGATAACGTTACAAACAAGGATAGGTTAAAATAAATTCCATATTGAAATCTAGAGTCGAGATAAATCTAAACACAGACATATACTGTGTTACAGTGTTTAATCATACGTTTCTATACATGAATATAAAAATGAAATTTACATTCCATCTAATTATTAGATATAAGAAAATGTGGTATGAGTGCGAATGAGACAACTCTCCATCCAAGTCCAAATTTTCAAAAGTAAACCATTATAGGTCAAAGTACGGTCTTCAACACGGAGCCTTGGCTCACACCGAACAGCAAGCTATAAAAGGCCCCAAAAATTACTTAGTGTAAAACCATTAAAACGGGAAAACCAACTGTCTAATCTATATAAAAAACGAGGAACGAGAAACACTTATGAACCACATCAACAAACGACAACTACTGAACATCAGATTCCTGACTTAGGACAGGTGCAAACAATTGCAGCAGGTTTAAACGTTTTAATCTATGATACATTGTTAATACAAAATAAATAAACTAAGGGAAGAATAATAAAAGTAACATGTTATACCACTGTAAAATGTTAATAATTTAAGAAAAACAATATGCTGGAACAAAAATATCAGCCATTTGCAATTACTTTAACACAGGTAAATGAAAATAATTTTGTTGTTAGGTATACGTGTTCAGTTCAAATAGAGAAAGGAAATATTTTTACAAATTAAATAATTTTGATGTTCATAGTACGAAAAAGTGTTATCAAACACTTATCAAAGCTGGTATATAGACCAGATATAACCCTGAATAACATTAAATAACAAAAAAGCATTACAATAAGTATCAACAGGTCAAATAAACAAGAAAGTACGATTTGAGAGTACTCGCAGTTACTGACAGATAGTTAAAAGCCAAAAACAATTAATAACAAAACATCATGCATCAGAGACTAAAATCAACTAAAATACATCTCAGGGATTTAGTATTTTAACGTCATAGACAGTCAAAGAAGACATGACTTGTGCAATGCCAAAACTAAAAAAAAAAATGTATCGACTGGCAGTAGGATAGTTAGAAGTTAACCTCTTTATATATCAAAATGAACATGGGTGTGTCTTTATACATCCCGTTTGAAAAGAATACAAATTTAGTTATGTTTTAATTTGCTGATGACAAAATCGATATTAGTGCCAATGTCAACTTTATTCAAAGATCTAATTACAACATTGGTAAGATAACTTTTACTAATAAGTTTGTTTAAAGGTTCGACGAGTTTACACCGATCACATAGTGATTTCCGCGCTTTAAGTACAATATTACCGTAAAATTTAGGATGTGAAATACCGTCTTTATTCAGTTTTCTACAGGTACAGCCAAATTTACAATTTACCAGTGATGCTTTGATTACGTTCGTTAAAATCTATGACATCACTACACACACGGGCATAACGAACGAGTTGGAATATATAAACACCGTATGATGGAGCCAAAGGAACATCGCCGTCTAAAACAGGAAAATTGACAATAGGGAATGAAAAGTCGTCTCTTTTGTCGTAAATTTAAGTATGGAGTTTTCCTTTAGAGATTGAAATGTCCAAATCTAGAAAAGGACAACTACTGCTGTGTATGATAGATTTAGTAAAAGTAAGTTCTTTTGGTATGTCATTAAGAAATCATAATTGGTGTTAACTGTTCTGTCGTATCAATGTCGGTAACGATATGTTAATAATGTCATATCGTTCATAATATTACTCAGTCATTGCTGAGCCCTTCGAATTAGCATTTAAACCTTCAAATTAACATTAAACTAAAAAAATGGCCTGAACAAGTAGTACTGATGATAACGGGCTCATGTCAACGTGACAAAAAGGATCATGTTTTCGAAATTAGATACCCAAATTATATAAGTGTACTTAAAACAACGTTATATTACAAGGTATGAAATTACGCCCTTAGTCTGTTTCCACATTAAAAAAAAACAACTCTTTTACCGTCAATTTTCGCTAGGGTTTATAGTAACTAAAACATTGACAGTTAGAGCAGGTATAAAGCTAATGTCGATACTTAAAAATACCAGAAATGTGTTCTAAAACATACAGACTGAGTCATTTTCCGCATATAAATCATATGACTGCTGTAACATCTATTTAAGTATTCATCAATCGTAAATATGGGTATTTTATAGGAATCAATTGTGTTCATCTACCATGGTGCTTGTGCGTTAATCCATATTATCACACTTTGCTTTTTTCTCTCGTTGAATAATTGGTTATAATGCGTATCCCTTTGAAGCTACATGAATAAAGTCAAGTGTATTTCATATCTAAATGATTGTGCATTGACAATTGGTTATTAAAAAAGATTTGGTAATGAGACAACTATCGACCACAGTTCAAATGAATTGAATGTAGGCAATTATAAGCAACCGCACGGTCCTTCTCAATGAGTATACTGTATAGTCGGCTATAAACCACCCTGACATAAAAAATGTACAACAATTCATTTGAGAAAACTAACGGCCTAACGTAAAACAAAACAATTAACGAAAAACAAATAAGACAGATATTAAGCAACGACAACCACTAAACTACAGGCTTCTGACATGGGACATTCACATAAAGAATATTGCGCGATTCAACACGTTTGTGACCGCCCAACCCTCATCTAATCTGGGAAAATTGTGTTACAGCACAACATTTAAAACAAGCGGAAAAAATCATTTGCAATTGACTTGATTCAAAATATCAGTACAGGTCACAAAAACACTTAACATAAAGACAATAGACACAAATCACCGAAATATGAGTACTCACAGTTACTGAAAGCTTGTTCAAAGCCAATAACAACGTATAGATAGATTATGTTCTCCTAAACTAGTATCAATCATTATACATCTAACAGATTGAGTGTAAAGACGTCATAAATATAAACGGATGACCGTGTGCATTGCCAAATTATTAGTAAACCACTATCTAAGGATGTTGGATCACATATGCAATGAATATTTAGTAATTTTTTTTGTACTTTTCAAAAACAAGACCAATGTTAATACCAAAAAAAAACAACATTTAAAAATTTTACAACTGTGTTAAATTGATAACCTTTAAGAATAAGTTTATTCAAAGAATCAATAAGTTTGCATGGGCAGTATCTAAATTAACGGGTTTTATTAAAACCATCCCGGTGAAAATTAGTACGTGGTATCCAGTTTTCAAATATGAACTCTTGGTATCTATGAAAGAATTTAGTAAAGATTATGATAAACTTGTATTAACGAAATCCCTAACTAAATGATTTATCAGTTATACATAATTTACGTATATTGAAATCAACAAACAAGTTGTGAAATAAAGAAGAAGCCAAATGAGCTTTCACCGTCCCAAAAGAAAAAATGAACAATCGGGAACGAAAAATCATCTTTTTTATCGTACAATTTTGAAAAGAGATTCCCGTGTTAAACTGAAATATCCAAATCTAGACAGGACAATTATTGCTGTCTGTATTAGATTTATCTAAAGTAATTTCCTTTGGGTACATTTCCACAGTAAAATTGGAGTAATCTTTATTATTTAAAGCAAAAAACAGCATCATGGTAACGGTAAGTGTTTGCCATCAAAGGGGTGCAATTGGTGTCCAAAGAAATGCCTACAACCTGTCGATAAACTTTAGTGCCGAGACGTACATAGTTATTGTAAAGAGGAAAATGTGAAGCTTAAATACTCTACAGTTCAAGTAAGTATATCTAAAACATTTCCCTTTATCATTACAGAGGGAGAAGAAAAAAAAGATTTTTCCAAGGACCATTTACTTAGATAAGAAAAAACTTTGGTTTGATGGGATTGTGTGGTAGTGTAATGTATACAGTCGAAAAATCATAAATGTCAACATAATGTTGAACAGACCATCAAAAGCACGTAATTCATCCATCCAAAGAGTTTTTGACACTTCAAAAATGGTGAATACCATTATTTTTATATGCTTTATTACAAAAATTAATTACAAGTTTTTGATAGACGTAATGGGACATGTAAACAGCACAGAAAGATTAGTAGTAGAACACTTACTAGAAGCTGAGATGAAAAGAAATTTGAACAGGTTTTTGTGTAGTTTAGGCAGCATATATATTGTAGGGACTTTCAAATTTTAAAAGGAGGCCTTCAGCTGAACTATGGTAGTGACATGACTATTTTCTGTTTACCTCTCTGTGGAGTGCACGGCCTTGAATGTATATGAATGTATAATTCCATTCTTAAGGACTTCCGTGTAGTATGTGCGTTATACCACCACTACATTGTTGGCTGCTTTGTCGGCCGTTACGAACACAAAACTCTTTATGAGTTCTTGAATTTTGTTTTTAATCCTATAAATGGGTGTTTTACTCAATAATTTATTTCTGAATTATTATCGAAATGTGATATGCGAATATCAACAATCTTCAGACATTTCTTTAAACCGGAATCCACTGATTTTGGTCACACATTGGTGTCAATATAATGAAATTCTATGCAACTGTCATGCAAGATAGAGGTTAAGCTAACTAAACAACCAGGTTAAATTCACCATTTTCTACGTACGGAAATGCCTGTACCAAGTCAGGCATATGACAGTTGTTTTCCATTCGTTAGATGTATTTGAGCTTTTCATTTTACCAATTTATAAAGGACTTTCCGTTTTGAATTTCACTTGGAATTTTTACCATAGAATGGAAGAGCATCAAGACTTACAGGACGACACTCTTTTTAGTTGATTTTCAATTGTTGGCGATATTTTGACACTTTTTTCATAACATTTGTACCCTCTTGGTCTTAAAAATGTGAAGTATTCCTGTAGTTACTTGATATAAATATACTCCAAAAAAAAGTTGATTTCAATTATATTATTCTGGAATATGTTCTAACAACATTCAATCAGCACCTGCATATTCGGTGTATATATATCATTAGCTAAAACTTTTAATGGCAAGCGTTATATGCCATGATTTCCTTTAATGAGGGATGCGTTTGCACTAAGGTAAGCAAATTTATAAAGACAGTTTAACGAACTAGTATTTCATATATGGTTCACTAGAATCGTGTTTATGTATGGTAATACCATTGATATAGTTCAACTGTTGTAGCCACAAATTCCTGATTTTTATTTGACCTTATTACGTAACGGAATTCACAAGTAGAGACATAACTGCTTTTTCGTTCAGGGGCACCTGAATTCGAGGGTTCTTGTTGTTTTCACCCTGGTATATTCTTCATTTCTCTTCATTGTCTATATTGTTGCTATAACGGTATGTTTTGTTCAGTATTGATGCAAACAACAATCAATTTCAAACATCGCTAGCTACATTATCGTATGGTTTATAAGTTTGCATGACGACAAGTAATGACTATTCACGAATTTGAAAAGGTATGGGCTTCTACTAGGACATTTACTGTTAGTCCTTTGAGGTATGTGATATGTCTGTGATTTCTGTTTTTTATAAGGAATCGTGTTACCTTATCTTTATTATTTCGTCCCTGGAGTTTGTTGTGTGTATATCTTTTTTCTTCGATTATTTGATTTTAAATTACCTCTTACCTGTCATTTTCATTTCGGAATCTTCTATTGTACTTTCTTTAGCTGAAAAAAAAATAATAATCTTTGTCAATGTTTGCCCAAATACCTCATCTGTTCTCTACTTTTTTACCATGAACTTTTTATCAGTATCTTGCTAAAATATACATGAGAATTATTTAGTTTTTTTGACAGGACGCCATCTAATTAAGCATTGATACTTTCTCAGAAGAAAACCGAGAGTGTATGACTCCATTTATATACCTACATGGATTTTGTTTCTTTCAGAACGATAGGTCATTTTTTTTAAGAATCTTCCCAAACAATACCAAGTTTCAATGACATGTGCTTCAAGGCATTAAATAATGACCTGTATAAGGTCATTATTTTCCTGATTAAAATGCAAACTTACATTTACTAAAACGTTTAATTCGTTTGATCGCTATCGTATGTTGTTGTCAATTGGGGATTTGCTGTTTAGTTTTCCATATTTCATAGGTTTCAGATAGAAATAGAAAAGAATATCTCACTTTAGTGTGGTCGGTAAAATAAAATGGAAATACTGCAAATCTTTGCAGAAAAAAATATATTTGTTATAAGTCATATAATGCATATTTTAATGTTTTTCTTGTGTGTCTTTCATTTGACCAATCCTGACATCCCTCGGGGTGTTATACTTCAAGTAAAACCTTAAAAAATACAAAGATAAATATGAATAAAACGAAGGAGACAAGTGTATGCAAGCGTATAATGAAGATGTTATTAAGGTCTGTTTGATTTCATGTAATATATTGAAAAATGATTATGTAAATCATCGTTTTGCCTGTAAACGAAAGATTTGTTCAAATCATTCCACAAAGTTGTTATTAATTGTAGCTCCTTTGTTTTACTATTTAAAATTGATATTTTTTTTTTCTTTTTGAAAGCTAACCATGCTTTGTACATGAATAATGAATAATTTTGACAAACTGAACCAAACTGACTGCTAAAACGAAATATCAATTACAAATGCCGCTTTAAAAAATGTAAATTAATTCTCTTTTATTGTTTAGTCTCAATCGGAGCTAATGCCCCTGATATACTGAGATTACGTCTGAAAAGCATTATATACACATTGTAATCTTAAAAGATAACAGTAAATCGAGCCACTCTTATCAGATATCAGTTATTATGTCTAAAGTACTTCTCGAGGCCAAAATGCTCGATAATCCAGAACTTATAGAAACTATTTTTTTCGATTAGAATTCAGCCTTTGTATGTACGATATATTTGCTACTGGATTTATTTAGTAAACAATCATTTCGTTTTAAGGAAGCAATACCACAAATACTCGACCTACAAGTTAAACGAAATGATACAAGTACTAAATTATTTTTACTCAATTCAATCATGGAAATTGCATTTTTACATCCTTTTATTTCGTTCTCGCTAAAACATAAGAAATGTGTAGCACATGTAGAGTTTTACTGTTGCTGTATCCGAAAATAAATTTACTGTTTTATCTGAATAAATATAACAGTAGAAACATGTCTTTACTATTCATTAACAAGTCGTATAACGAAGATCATTTTACGTCCATATTTTCATTTTAATTGAAACACAATTTGATAAGTTATATATGTCAAAAAATATATGAGTTCATATTAAAATCTTAAACTCATTTCACGATATATTATTTATTTGACTTATATATATACATTGATATATACTGCATAACAAATCCATAGGATATATATATGTATGTAAAATGATAGGCAAACAAACAACTGTCATATATGAAGCTGATCTTATTTTTTTTTTTTTTTTTTATTTTTTTTTTTGTCATTTTCAATCAATGTACACCTTGAATTTCCTAACAAACAAAATATATCATGTAATAACAGTTTATTTGGGGATTCCATTGACCCATTGATATATTTCTTTCTATGACAACTGATTGCTTTATAAATCAGTTGAATATAAACAAATCTGAATTAAAGCTATGACTATATTGTTATCTGTTAGTTGAATTGTCAAAAGAAGATAGTATTGAGAATGTAAATGAGGAATGTGTCAAAGAGACAACAACCCGACCAAAGAGAAGAAACCAGACTTAGGCCACCAATGGGTCCGCAACACAGCAAGAAAATCCCCCAACCGGAGGCGGGCTTCAGCTGACCCCCAAACAAAATGTTTACTAGTTCAAAAAAAATGGACGTCACACTAAACTCCAAAACATATAAATGAATTTAAATTAAGAAACATAAAAGACTTACAAAGGCCAGAAGCTCCTGACTTGGGACAGGCGCGAAAATGCGGCGGGGTTAAACATGTTTTGTGAGATCTCAACCCTTCCCCTATACCTCTAGCCAATGTAGTAAAAACAAACACACAGCAATACGCACAGTAAAACTCAGTTTAAAAGAAGTCCTAGTCCGATGTTAGAGAGGTAACAAAAGAAACGAAGCAAAATGACAATGATACATAAATTAACAAAGGACTACTAGCTGTTACTGACATGCCCGCTTCAGACCTCAATTAAACTGATTGAATGATTATGTCTTCATCATATGAAAATCAAGCACAATCCCTCCCGTTAGGGGTTTAGTATCATACCATCATAAAATATATGAGAAGACCATACAATACCCAAACACACCCGAAATAACTTAAAGTTGGCGCATAGATCTGGAAACATTTGGCCTTCAACAAGGACCAAAACCCTTACTCTAAAGACTGCTGTAAAATCCCCCGACAAGACAAATGTACAACAAATCAAACGATAAAATTAGCTGCCTTAAATATGTCAAAAAAAGAAACGAAGAGCATATTCTAGTATATAGCAACAAACGACAATCACTGAATTGCAGGCTCCTGAATTAAAAAGGAGTCAGATAAAGAATGCGATTTGAATAAACATATTCGCAAACGGCTAAAAGTCTCTTCAGCCGGGGGCAGAAGTGTACGAACAAACTATACAAATTAGTTGAAAAAGGCGTGACATATTCGATCAACACAAGGAACAAAAATTCAAGAATTAAAAAAAAGATTTTAGACACAGTGTAACAATCCCTCCCGTTAGGGGTTTAGTATCATACCATCATAAAATATATGAGAAGACCATACAATACCCAAACATACCCGAAATAACTGAAAGTTGGCGCATAGATCTGGAAACATTTATCATTAAACTTAAAGATAATTTTTCTCGACATTTTACTTATCGGTGTTTATTCAGATATTTAAGGGTGTTATGCGATAAAGATCCATGTCCTCCTTTATTACTACAATAAAGTAAAAATTCTTAGTATTACATATAGTATTGAAACAAAATGAAGTAAGAATATCAAGGTATATATATGGAATTGTAATACTATAGATATAAGTAATTACAGATAGGAAAATTTGGTAAAAAGGTTCATGGCGTGAACTTATATCAATACTCTATTGTTTAGCAATACAGAATTTCTGGGCAAAATCTAAAAATGCACTGAATCTATCAAAAAAAACATTAAAATCCTGGATTGAACTACTTTACTCCATGTGATTCCGTATTGATCAAGAATAGTGAAAAAAAAAGTGTTTACTCCACCACTTAGTTTTTTTCCACAATTTTTTTTTTCCAATTTAACTTACTCAAATAAATGTTGTCACCGATAATTTGTTCTTGAAAGACATTATTACAATTTGAAATTGCCGTTTAAATAAGATGTTTTTTTTATAAAGAATAAACATGATAAATATTCTTGCAAATAACACGAATAGGACGCCTAGAATCAATTTTGAACGGCTAAAAGTCTCTTCAGCCGGGGGCAGAAGTGTACGAACAAACTATACAAATTAGTTGAAAAAGGCGTGACATATTCGATCAACACAAGGAACAAAAATTTAATAATTAAAAAACAGATTTTAGACACAGTGTACCGATCTAAGATTTCTTGCAGTTACTGAAAGTTAGTTCAAAGCCAATAACAAATAAAACAAAATCTTGCATCTAGACTAAAGTTCAATCAGTACACAAAGTTGTCATGAACAGTCAGAGAAGATCACAACGTGCTATAAGTATCAACAGAATATATGACCGTATATGTTCAAAGCAAAAATATTTAGTTCAATTTTAATTTATTTGTAACCAAATCAATAGTTGTACCGATAGAATAACATTTAAAGATCTTATTACAATTGACTATCTCGTACAGTCAGTTTGTTGATAGGATCGATAATATTACAAGGATCATATATAAATCAACGGGCCATAAAACAAATATAAAAAAAAAGAATCATATATATATATATATATATATACTAGTATTGTGGGCATAACAAACAGCGTGACACAGAATTTAGCCATTTCATAGACATTGTAATTAAACCTCTATATGGTGATGATCGACGTTTTATACGAGACGATTTACAATTTCTAGATCATCTACCCAGAATTGTAAATCCAAATTCAGGACTCATTACTTTTGATAATGCCAGTCTACTCAAATATCTCGCACGATGTAGGACTAACAGCCGTGAAATATGGGTTACAAAATACAGACAACCTCATTAAAAACGGATTTACGAAATCATTTATACTTGCATCCATAAAACTCATATCAGAGAGAAATATTTTTTACTTTTTCTTTTACAAAACAAATCATCTTTAAAATATTCACAGCTATGGAATCTCAAATTTTGCCTTCATACTCTACTTTGGTACTAAGATATTTGGAACTAATCATTTATGAAAAACTGGACCATAAATACGGAAATGAATTTGCCTCTGATAAACGTCAAAACTGGAAACGTTTTCTTAACGATTCTTTTATCATTTAAGATTTGGATATATCTTCGACAGATTTCCATTTCGACTTAAACATTTTTAATCCATATATTCGTTTCACAGTTCACAAAAGTGAAAAAAATGCCGTTTTTGGATGTTTTAGTACTAATAAAAAAAAGACAATGAAATGTCAGAGAGAATTTTTCTAAAGACACCGATACACATATGTATTTAGATTTTTACTCAAATCATCCAAAACATGTGAAATTAAATAAACATTTTAATTTAGCGTCAAGTATTATCATCACTCCGTGCACAGAATTATTTTGTCATAACAGATTGCAAAAAAGAAGCGTATATTTAACAAGCAGCAATATTAATATGCGGAACAAGTGATCATATTTATATATATATATATATATAACATATGTGATGAAGCTATCGTCACAAGTTATAAACTTTAGCAAACAGAATCTGTCATTTCCCTCTGACGTTAGTAGATAAAAGAATATGTTTCAACTTATTTTTTTAAGCAAATATAAAACAAAAGTCTATATGTACAGAGCTACTTATTTGTTCTCGTTCAGAAAGAACAACAAGATTGTACATGCGTTTCACTGTCTTGAGCTGGTTTATATACTACAGGATGGATCAGTTCATTATACTTATATGGGGTGGTGAGGAAAAATCAAGCACATATCAACTATAGGGGTGTTTTCAAGTAACAGATGGTGTTCCAACCATGGAAAAATTTATATACATATATAAACACAATCAATAGAAAGGACAACTGGTATTTTACAGCAAAATGAGTGAATTATGACCGATTTTAGTTACACTAGCTTATTTTTTCTTTAAGATTTTAAATTTGATATTAATCAATTTACACTTCAACTATTTCCAAGATTTAATCTTAATTTGGCTTTAAAACGCCATAGTCTCTAATTGACTTTAAAGAACTAGGAAGCGTGTTCCAGTCCTTGATTGTATTCAAAAAGACATATGATGAATTCATCCCATTGATTTTTGCAACAATAAAGTTTAAATGGGTATTTCTTGTGTTGTATCAATAGTGTTCATTGACTTTACAAAAACTGTCTTTCGGATATTCTGGGCATTTGCCGTTGTAGATTTTGTGGACATATCTCAATCGCAATGGTTTAACCCTGTTTTTTAATGTTTAGAAAACCGAGGCTTGATAGTTCTGTCTTGCTAACATGAACCAAATTTGTTATTGATTCGAATAGTTTTGTTTTGGGCAATTTGAAGCTTATTTTTATATTTTTGTGATCCACCGGCATATCAGGAGGAGCAGGAATAATCAAAGTGACAATGAATAAGAGCCGTTGTAAGCGTAAAATATTTTGTTTGATTTGTTTGTGTTAGGATTGTAAGTAAAATCAATGTTTAAGTATTCTATGCGTTCAAAATTGATTCTAGGCGTCCTATTCGTGCTATTTGCAAGAATATTTATCATGTTTATTCTTTATAAAAAAAACATCTTATTTAAACGGCAATTTCAAATTGCAATATTGTCTTTCAAGAACAAATTATCGGTGACAACATTTATTTGAGTAAGTTAAATTGGAAAAAAAAATTGTGGAAAAAAACTAAGTGGTGGAGTAAACACTTTTTTTTCACTATTCTTGATCAATACGGAATCACATGGAGTAAAGTAGTGCAATCCAGGATTTTAATGTTTTCTTAATAGATTCAGTGCATTTTTAGATTTTGCCCAGAAATTCTGTATTGCTAAACAATAGAGTATTGATATAAGTTCACGCCATGAACCTTTTTACTTAATTTTCCTATCTGTAATTTCTTATATCTATAGTATTACAATTCCATATATATACCTTGATATTCTTACTTCATTTTGTTTCAATACTATATGTAATACTAAGAATTTTTACTTTATTGCAGTAATAAAGGAGGACATGGATCTTTATCGCATAACACCCTTAAATATCTAAATAAAAACCGATAAGTAAAATGTCGAGAAAAAATATCTTTAAGTTTAATGATAAATGTTTCCAGATCTATGCGCCAACTTTCAGTTATTTCGGGTATGTTTGGGTATTGTATGGTCTTCTCATATATTTTATGATGGTATGATACTAAACCCCTAACGGGAGGGATTGTTACACTGTGTCTAAAATCTTTTTTTTAATTCTTAAATTTTTGTTCCTTGTGTTGATCGAATATGTCACGCCTTTTTCAACTAATTTGTATAGTTTGTTCGTACACTTCTGCCCCCGGCTGAAGAGACTTTTAGCCGTTCGCGAATATGTTTATTCAAATCGCATTCTTTATCTGACTACTTTTTAATTCAGGAGCCTGCAATTCAGTGATTGTCGTTTGTTGCTATATACTAGAATATGTTCTTCGTTTCTTTTTTTTGACATATTTAAGGCAGCTAATTTTATCGTTTGATTTGTTGTACATTTGTCTTGTCGGGGGATTTTACAGCAGTCTTTAGAGTAAGGGTTTTGGTCCTTGTTGAAGGCCATATGATCATCTCGACTTGTTAACATTTACCTCATTTGGTTTCTGGTTAATTGTCTGATTGGCAATCATACCTCTTCTTATTTTTATAAATCAGACAAATTGGTAAAACATTAATTAAAATACAATAGGAAACAAAAATCAATAACACATTGATAGGTGTGTAAAGATAACTCGCAGCACGAGTTCCAAAATTAATTCTGTTGTTTTTTCTTGACGTTTTACCATCATATAATAATTTTAACGAATAAAACTATGTTTTCGATAAATTGTATTTCTAAATACATATGTAAAAATGTTGTCTAAATATAGAGAAAGAGAATCGATTCAAAATCTCTGTACCTTGAAGCCACCAAAATTCTACTCTTAAGTAGTGAGACAAATGAGTCAATTAAAGCCTATCTAAATAAACAAATACGTTAATCACTCCAATAAGTTAAACAAGACACAAATTTTGAAACATTGTATAATTGTATAATTTGTTATCGTCATTGAAATAATTAATACGCAATCATAGATCGATATGAAGACCAAACATTAAACAATATTTTCAAAGGTTTAAAAACAAAGTTTGAACGCTATTGTCAGTAGTTGAATGGAATCTTCTTTTACGCACGTTTGCCTTTACTGCAAGGCAGAAAGATTAAAGAATCTAACCCACAGTTTGAAAGAGTTTATCAAGGGTGTGACTTATTAGCATAATGGGGCTTAAAGAAGTTCTAATTTACTTTGAATAAATGCAAGGGACGTTATTTGAAACGGATTTATTTTGTGAAAAAAAATATTAAAAGAAATTGAAAATAAGATTGCCATTTTTTGTCAAGCATTCACAAATTTCTTTAATTTATTCCATACATGTTTAATACCTTTTTAGCCATTCAATATAAATTCTGGTTTTTAGTTATTCCAACACAGTTATAATGTTATGTGTTCTTTTAATCTGAGATAGTTAATGCTTTGCGTTTTGAGGTTTCCAAAAGTATATTGCTAATGAACCTGTGTCTAGGAACTAATATGCTTAAACAGTCATTAGATTTAATCAATATTTTCTTAACATGGTTTAAGGAAAATTATTTACGGTCAGATCAACATAATTAGCTAAATTTCTGCTATGTCCATTTCAACTGGGAAATATCTGGCTTCTTAGAAAAACTTATAAAAAATAAGCACAAACCTCTTTTGGGAATAGACAGGCATATCTTCAACATCAAAGTTATCCAAAAGCCAAAAAGTATGAAATAGTGTTTATCTGCAATATATTTTGATATCAGATCATATCACACGAATTTATATGTTCTTAATCGATAAACCTTATATATTTTCTTAGAGCTGGAGAACTGTTCCGTAAAGACTAACATAATGTTGTTTCTCTGCAAGTGTTTATATCATATTTTAACATGTACACAATATAACTGTACACATAACATTTCATTTTAGCTCTGATTAATTCATACTAAAACAGTTATACCTATGTCTCATATAAATCTTATCTGTTTAAATCAGCAAGTTATAGTTACTGAAGACATCAAATGAACCCTAGAAACATAAACAGGATAACAACTCATAAAAGGTAACAAGCTCCTTATTTAGTACGGAAGACAAGTTTCGTCTACAAAATACTCATAACGGGATACACAAGATGTAATAGCCAAAAAATCGAATAAATACAGAGTTGTTCCAAATCCTGTTAAAGTTATCTGTACATGGAATAGATATCATTTAATCTCGAATGAATTTACAAATTCATCATCAGTATATTTAAGTTTAAATTAACTTTTAAATTACATTGTATGTCAGCACAGAAGTGTTCACTGTTGTGCTGGTGATAGTCTTTCAAACGAAACGCCCTACAGTAATGGTATATATTCCGTGGTTGTGGAGTGTCATAAGAGTAACAAGTGTTATTACAGTAAAAACAAAACATTCCACAGTAGACTGACGATTTAATAATACGAACCCCATAAAAATGGAGGGTGCGTTGCAAGTGTAAGCAATGCCTGTAAGCTAGACTAGAAAATATGACTACAATTCTTCAAATTGTTGGCTGTTGTTGAATAGACAATTCTAATTGAAATGATTTGCAATTACTGACTTTTAGCTTTTGTTATTGGTTCAATTGAAATACACACACAAACACACATACATAATCAGACAGAGAGACAAACATATATAAAACTTTCAAGTCTGACCTTTGCAATTCGTTTTCCAAACTCCAATCATCAGAGGAATAAAAAGGACGAACAACATCAACAATATACTCATACATAGTTTTACGCTACCTGAAACGATATTTTTACTGATCTAAACATTTAAAACGATTTCAAAAAACAAATATAAATCAATTGCTTTAAAAAGCAATTGTAAACGGTCTTTCCCCCACCTGAAACATGATTGACTGATATATTTGTATGTTTGTTTTGTTTGTTTGTTTATTTGTTTGTTTGTTTGTTTGTTTGGTTTTTTTTTCTTTCTTTAAAGGGTCAATATTAGTGTGTTGGTTAAGTTTCTATATTTAGTTTGGAAAGTTTTTATTCTATTTCAGGGTCCGCGCGCGTCTTTGTCTCGCGCCAGGTTGTGGCGTCACGTGACGAGGCTTTATATTAGCGAAAACTTAGTATTTTTATTTCTTTTTAGGTGGGGACGTTGGACAGACAACATGTATAGCGACGGAATACACACAATGTATTTCTTTTGTCATTGTAGGTAATTGACGTTTCGATCACAGTTCACGAGCAGTGCATGCTTTGGATTTAATTGATCCTGTGTAACTTTAAAACACGTTTATCGATTATTTTCATACAATGCACATTTTTCAGCAGCAGTTTGTAACACAGATTTGTATTTCAATCTAGGAGCGGACATTTTATTGTAGGATTTCACTGAGATTTACGGAACTAGCAAGCGATTTTTACGGCATTGCAATTTCTTTTCTCTAGGAAAATTCTTGAGAGATATCTGCACCACGTTGTTTTATGAAGATTCAATACATGTATACTATACCCTGCTGACTGCAAAATTTGGGGTCAATTGGACATGTAGTTTCTGAGAACATCTGATAACAAGCATGTGGATTTTTTTTTTCAGAAGAGATGTAAATACAATATTAAACACATGAGACGGAAACATGCATACAATGAACGATTGATTGGTTGGTTGGTTTATTGATTGATTGATTGATTGATTGATTAATTGATTGAATTGGTTGGTTGATTGATTTTTTGATTGGTTGGTTGGTTGGTTGGTTGGTTGATTAAACACGTGGGATAGGGTCTCTTGAAACAAGCGAAAAAAAGAAACAAAGGAAATCTTGGACCCCGTATTAAATACATGAGACGGAAACATGCATACAATGAATGATTGATTGGTTGGTTGGTTGGTTGGTTTATGGATTGATTGGTTGGTTGGTTGATTGATTGATTGATTAATTTAACATGTGGGATATGGTCTCTTGAAACAAGCGAAAAGATCTTGGACCCCATATTAAACACATGAGACGGAAACATGCAGGCATGCAATGATTGATTGGTTGGTTGGTTGGTTGGTTAGTTGATTAACACAGAGAACGGATCCACTTGGATCCTGCAAAAACGGAATTGAAAGCCTAGATACTATATATCTAAACACATGGGATTTATCTTTAGAGAGATCACTTAACAAGTAGTAAGGTTAAAGGTCAATGTCAACCTACAAAAGCATTAAAACACAATCAAACTCTTTAAAAAGTGCCAAAAACACATAATTTGCCTCTTTGTACATGACCTTGACCTTTGACCTTGACCCCAATTTCAAGGTCATGAAACAAGGGCCTCAAATCAAAACACTCTAGGTCTCTACTATATATTGTTAATGAGTTATATTACCATACAGCTAATATTAGATATAAAAGGGGCGAAAACTCCCATTAAATGTCTACGTACCCTTTCAACTAAAATTTACGTGTTACGACATGTCGCAACTAACAATTCTATAAAAATATGTTGTCGATATCTTATAAGATTTCTGAAAATTAGTGATAACAAGCCAAAATCAAAATTTTTAACATGACCTTGACCTTTGACCTTGACCTCATTTTCATTTTTATGGACCAAGGACCTCAAATCAAAAGACCCTAGGCCTCTATCACTTATGGTTTTCCAGTTACAAATACATTTCACATATATCAAATACAAAAGGGGAAATAACTCTCATATGGAGTCTTCGTAAAGCTTCGGTCTAAATAAAACCTAACATTCTGAGGATATAACGAGCAATTTGGAAAAATAAATTTGTCGCTTTCTTTTACGGTTGCGGAGGAGATCTCATAACAAGAAAAACAGTGTTTGGGGAGATAACTCTTACAAAGAAAAGTGTTCGGTTAAACAGGGTCAGTTTCAAAAGCGTATAGACTGTATGATATCATATACCAAAAAACTAAGCGACATCTTTTGAAACTAAAATACACCGCAAGAAAAAAATTAGGCGGAAGAAAAAAAAAATAATCAGAAGAAAACCAATAGGTCTTTCCACAGAAAGGTGGAAAGACCTAATAAATTATAATTCTTAAATGATATTCATGTCATATCCATTGAACAAGCGGTTAATGGATTTGAGAATAATGTGTACTGATTTGTCAGCTAGATTGTTTTGAACATTAATTACTTCAGGAAATCCTAATAATTTTTTGACTTGAAGTAGTTTAAAAGTTTGCCATGCAGGCTAAATACATGTAGGAACATCATTTATATACAGTCAAACCTGTATTAAGCAGTCACTCTTGGGAAGAATCAAAAGTAACCGCTCAGGAGAGGTGACCTTTGAAACGAGGTTTCAAAAATTTCCTATTGCAATATCACCCGTGGCCGAGATCGGGTCAAATTGTTTTAGTGTTTACAATCGGAAGAGTTGTCGTACATGCGAGCAGTGAAACAAATAATGGCCGATCCCGGCGCTGTAAATTTGAAACAAATGTCGAAATATGTTAATATTCGTGGGGAAATAAGTCGCTGATACTGTTTACAAATTAGACAGAGTGGATCAGGGCGAATTTAAAATTAACCGTCTTTTGTCCGATCTCAGTTGCAAACGGGATTCGATTTTCATTTTGACTTCGATATTGACAACATATATATTTGTCATAAAGATTTTTGGTAGTAAAAACCATTAAAATGACCGTTATTTAAATTTGAAATGTCGATTTCGTTTGAAAATAAGGTGACCGCTGAACGCGTTAGACAGGTGATCGCTGAAATGAGTTAAATTATATATATAAACCGATATGGAGGGTCTGAAAGTGATCGATAGATACATGTAGGTGACCGCTGAAACGAGGTAACCGTTAAGGCAGGTTTGACGGTAGTAAGAAATAATTTTAACCTAAGGTTAAAATTTGATAACTAAATATGTTTGTGTAAAATACTACATGTGGGCAGCATGTTATCAATTCTAATGTGTCTTAAATACATGATTGTTTTATTTTGTTTATTGTTTTCATTGATCTCATTTGGTGCAAAAGTTTTTAAATATATTTTATTTTCTTATTCAAAATCTTTCCCGAGCTAGTCTATCCACCCTAAACCAACCAGTGTAGTGATCTATGATTGTAATGGTTAGTCGATTGAGATCTTCCTTGGTGTAGCCAGGGGACCTCAATTGTCGACTGAGAAAAAGATCTGGCTTGCATTCATTGTCACTGTGATGGCCGTTCTTATGTTTGTGAAATGGCTGCTCTGACTCGCCAACATACTGTTTATCACATTTACACTGTAGAAGATACACAGCATTTGTAGCCTTGAAATTAACATTGCAAAATATGGTGTATTCCGTACCAGTGGCGTGACTTTTAAAAGTCTAGGTATTCAGTATTTGCTTGCAAGTCAGACATCGTTCGTTTTCGCATCCTTTGCAAGAGCCCACAGACGAAGAGCCTGATTAAAAGGATAAATCAGATCTCACCAGCAAGTCTTTAAGTATTTTGGGCCTACGGAAAACCAGTACAGGTGGCTCGGGAAAGATCTTGGATAGTTAAAGATTTTTTCGATTTTTTTCAAATTTTCGTGGATAAAGTTGTGATAACTTGTCAAATTTGGGATGACAAGTCAGCACAAACGGCACTCTTTTGTTGACATTTTTGTATTTATATTGTAAAAACTCATCTCGGCTAATGTTGTTAGCACGAGAGATACCTTTATCAATGTCTTTTCTTCTGTAGCCCCGATTTTTTAGGTGACCGCGAAGTGATGGTAGTCGCCTTTTTTTTGCAGTGTCATTGTTGGAGCACATACGTTTTATTCGTATGGCCTGACTATAGGCAATTCTCTTAGTGCAATGTATCTTTTTTGCCTGGAGTATGACAACAAATAAAACCTATTGACAACTCTTTAGTCTCTGTCTCAAACAAAGCAACTGAAGACAAATTCAAGATTTAGGAGAAAAAAATTGTAAGAACTCTACAAAAACGGTGGTCAATTTGTCTTCAGTTGTTTTGTCGGAGACCGAGCTTAAAGTATTTTCAAAAGGTCTTAATTTTTTCCCACGCCGGGCACAATTGATACCCTACTATTGGAAGATGACCTAGACAAATTAGCAAGATCTCTCAGAATCAAGGGACACTTTTCTAAGGACACCACAAAAATTGAAATAGAAGGGGACATAAGTGATCTTGACTCAGATGAAGAACAAGAAGATGTTGATATTCCAAGATTCTGGAAAAAAAATCATGGATTCCTAAACCCAGTAAATGTCCCACTTTAGAACATACTATTGAAGAAATTAAATCCGACGTAACACATCTGTCCACTGCCACTTCCCAAACATTTAACAATTTATCGTCAGAAGAAAATGAAGCTGTGCGGTTGCTTAAAAGCAGAGACGACATAATACTTAAGCCAGCAGATAAATTAGCGCTGTTGTCGTCATGGAGAAATGTGATTACATTCAAGAGGTAGAACATCAACTTTCTGATGAGAGATTTTATATGAAATTAGACTCTGACTAAACCCCTGTATTCAACATAAAGGTCACCAAAAACTTGAAAATCATGTATAAACAGGGTCATATTTATGAGGACACATTTAGATATCAAAAACCTAAACAATCGGGAGTTTCTTTCTTCTGCCAAAAATACACAAAGTTATCAAAATAATCAAAGTAGACCAATTGTGTCTGCCAATGACCACCCTACAGAGAAAATATCAGAATTTATTGACTTTCATTTAAGACCACATGTAGAAAATATACCATCCTACATACAAGAGACAACACACTACCTAACGAAAATGGAATCTTTGAACCCTCTCCCACA